TTGCCCTTAGCCTGAAGCCACCTTTCCAGTTTTTGGCTTGTCCGCTGCTTACTCTGTGAAGGGCAACCCTGAGCCTCAGGAGATGGATGCCAGTCAGCTCTAATTCTGCACAAACCGTTTTACCTCACTGGGCCTCCATTGTTTTTTCATATGTGAAGAAAGGCATTCTTCAGAAACCTTAGCCTGTGACTCATTGCCTCTTTTAATGGGCTAGGGATGTAAGTGGGATCATCTAAAGGATTTTAGCTACATTTTGTGTTATTTCATTAGAATTCAATTATGGAAGCTGGTAGCAGAGCCACTTCCATTGAATAATAGGTGGACTCCCACCTTGAATGCGGTTTTAATGAGGCTCTTCAAAGACCACAGTCAGCCCAAGAGAAAAGCATATACTCTAAGGCTTGTATTTGATTTTGGGCCAGTCATTTTGCATAGTGAATTGAGCAGATATGATCCCATTTGTGCAAAATTTGCAGTCCAATACAGGTAACAGTGACTCGAACGGGTATATTAAGGATGTAAATTAAACAAATACACATTAAATTAGGTCAGTTACAAAAGTAGGCTAAGAACTCAGTGAATGCAGGAGCACTTTTGTGGGTTCGCTATAGTGGATGTCAACATGTGGCAGAGAAGGGTTTGAATGGCTCTAAAGTTAGTGTAAAAAGTGGAGTTCAGTAGTTGGCTTTCTTCTTTTTTCTCAATAAGATCCAGTAAATGGTTGAGCTTATGAAAAGTCTTCCCTCTCCTGGGATCCTCCCCTGCTTGGGATGCTGTCCAGCGGGGTAATGGGAGGCAGCAGAGCAGAGCCCAGGGCTGGCCTCCCAATCCACCTGGAGCTCCTCCAGGTCCCTCCCCTGGGAAAGGGAATAGTGTCTCCAGGCTGCAGGTTGGGCTGGTAAGTCAAGCTGATGAGGAATCATCAACATAACCCCAGTGGGCATGCGGTGGGGCCGGCATGCTGCTCTTGTCTTGGAGGAAGGGCACTGAGTGCCCTGCACACTTCCCAGAGACAGCTGAGAGAGGGACATTCTCTCCTTTAGGACAGTGAGTCATGGTTTTCCAAGTTTTGAATAACTTTCAGCTTAAGCTCAACTTTAGAATTAACGAGGAATGTGCAGATTTAAAACAAAGAGACACTGTAGTTGTTTTAAATAGGAATATAAAGTGAATAGTGATTTCTAAAATAGATTTTCTTGATAGTCATTCTAAAATAGAGTTTCGTCAACCACAATCTCTGGCATCTGTTTAAAAATAAGGTGGGTAAAATTGGCCATATTCTAGTAATGTGGCAGTTGATAAAATTAATCTACAAAATATTTGAACAGATAAAGGAATTAAAATTTAAAATGTTAAAAGTTAGGCAACATATTAACCCTTCCATCATCTTTCTAGGTTGACATGCTTTTAGCAAGCACCCTTAGCTTCATAATCTTGGCCTCCATTAATTTTAGATAGGTGACCATCAGCACAAATACCTGTGAACATACTACCAAGTTAGTCAAAGTCACTTTATCCTATTATTGTTTGCAACACTGAGGCCTCATAATCTCTAACTCTTTGCATAATTTACTGTCAACTTTAAAATGTCATGCTATTATAGTAACTAAACACATCATTCCTGTGTTTCTGGTCGCTTACATAAGATGTTGCTTAAATAAAAAGTTCTCTAAAAACATGAGGGCTCAAACACACATCTCTTTGTAGTTTGTTTATACTGTTTCAGAAAGAAGACTATGCATACTGTGACACCTGTGTGTTTTGTAGGCAAGTTGACTAATGCACAAAAGGCTTTCAAACTTCTTAAAAGGAAAAATAATTCTTTGAACTGACAGTGAACAATCTTTTCAGTACTGGAGAATTTCTGTTTGATGGCCTGTGTCAGATGCAATGAACATTAAGAAAGTTTCCGTACACTAAATATGTCAGTAGTTTGGAGATTTCAAGAGATCTTTGCTGAAGTGCTTTTGATTTCAGAAATGATGAACGAATAATGCATATATATATGTATGTGTGTGTGTGTGTGTGTGTGTGTGTGTGTGTGTGTATATGTATATTTCCAAGTTAGGAACACAGAAATTTCCAGAAGCCTCTAGTTAGTATTATTCAGTAGTTAAGACAAAAGCACTGTTAACTGAGATTTCATCTGTGCAATGGTTTTCACTTATATTATCTCAGAATTATGCAATTCTCAGGCCAACTTTGAGTCTCCACTTAATTAATGGAAAAACTAAGTCTCAGACTGAACAATTTGCTGAAAACCATTTCATAGGGAATGACTCTAACTTTTATAGTCATTTCATATCCCACAATGCTTCCTAAAAGTAAAATTCCACTTTAATCTTTACAGTAGTAAGATAGTAGCTCAAGAAGTAGGTATGAGGGAAGTTTGTTTTGTTTGTTTTTTTACTGTTCATTGCTCTTAAACTCAATTTAAAATTACATTTATTTAATTATTATGTTGCTGAGATCAGTCAGTGGTCTCATTCTGTCTTGTATATATGTTTCATTTTAAATAACTTTTCCTTTTTGCTACTCTTGGGAAGATTGTAGAGGGAGTTAAATTGGAGCCTGAGTTGTCTAAGCTAAGCAGAGGTGACAGTTGGGAAGAAGTATTTTCTTGGAGGATCCAGAATCCTTTGGACTCACACTACTCACAGGACAGAACTTTAGAAGTCCTATTTGTGTTCTGAAATCTAGTTTATTACGCCTAAAAGCCTGAGACCCAGATTCTATATCTAATGTTCTTTGCAAGGATCCATGTCAGCCATTGAGATTATTGGCAAGTTATTTCCCAATGGAATGCCTTTATGGCTGAATACTTAGCTCTTTACTTTCAAATTCATTTTCATCTTCTTTACTTTTCAAACATTTCAAATGTTATGTTTGATGTAAAGATTAGGAGAGAAATCCATTCAATTTTAAATACAAATTTTCAGAGGTTATAGAAAAATGTAATAGCCCCTTGTCCAGACGTTATGATTTAAATTCTTTATTAGATAGTATTTTGGCATATTTTTTAATTTATAAAAATACCAAAACAAAAATGACCCCTTTGGAATTTTAGAGTGACAGAGAGAGAGAGAGAGAGAGAGATTTGCCTAATCTCAGTTAGCAGATTAGTAGCTTCTGCAGGACATTACAGGAAGTATTACCCACAAGGTCAAAATGCAGAGAAAATAGTTAATCTCTGTCATTTGCTATGAAGATAGGACATAATTGAATGCATACAGGAGAAAACGCTTCAAATATGTGCTAAGATTCTGTCCTAGGCAAAATATGATCCTGATGTGTTCACAGAACATCAAGATACATTTAGTTATTTTGGATTTTATAGATACTTATGAGTTGAATGCTATTACCATTGTGTAATTTATTAGATAATGATGAGTAAAAACAAAACTAAAACTCTATATTGGTTACAAGACATATGGGCATGATTTCTATATTCCATATCTGAGGATCAAAGACAGAATACTCCAAGTCAGACATAACCAGAATATGGGTTAAATCACTGGTTTTCAATATTTCTTCCACCAAGGGCCAAAGGCTTCTTTTAGTATGTATGTATGTGTGTGTGTGTGTATGTGTGGGTTTAGACCCCTTGTTTGACAGGCTTTTAACTTTCTAAACAAGCTGCATTCTTTAAAATATATATATATGTGTGTTAATCAGAAGTTCTGAGCAATGTTTTAGAAAATTTGGCTTTTCATTCTTCTTCTTTATTGATCACCTGCAACCTGCATTTTGCTGGACACAGCATTCAAAATCCAAAGAGACAGCATCCTTGCTTTCATGAATATTAAAATATGGGTGTGTGTGGGTGGGGGTAGGGGACACATAAATAAGTAGTAAAATTCCAGATCCATTAGAAAGCAACTTGAGGCCGGGTGCAGTGGCTCACATCTGTAATCCCAGCACTTTGGGAGGCTGAGGTGGGCGGATCATGAGATCAGGAGATCGAGACCATCCTGGCTAACCCGGTGAAACCCTGTCTCTACCAAAAACACAAAAAATTAGCTGGGCGTTGTGGCAGGCGCCTGTAGTCCCAGCTACTCGGCAGGAGAATGGAGTGAACCCAGGAGGCGGAGGTTGCAGTGAGTCGAGATTGCACCACTGCACTCCAGCCTGGGCGACAGATAGAGGCTCCGTCTCAAAAAACAAACAAACAAACAAACAAACAAAAAAAAAAAGTAAAAGAAAGCAACTTGACATTTTAGTTAGTTTGTACAAGGTTGCCACAGATACATGCCGCATTCCTATAGAAATTTAAAAAATCAAAATCTTTCTGACACTCAGAGGTACAGGTGCCCTAATGTGGGATTCACTGTGGGATTCAGTGATGTTATTGTATTAAGTATCTAAAAAGCATGTTTGAAGAGAATGAATGATACAGGGAATTGCAGAATGCGGTGGGAGCCCCACGTGTAGCCAGGCACAGGCAAGGGATAGTGGCAATGGCAGATCCGTGATTGAGCATTTGCTACATGCCAGCAGCTTTCCACATGGTATCTACAGCTCTCCATAAACCCCTCGAGGTGACTACTATTGCTGTCAGTTTCCTTTTTCTTTTCTTTTTCGCTCCCCTCCCTTCCCCTCCCATCCCCTTCCCCTCCCTCCCTCCCTCCCTTCTTCCCTCCCTTCCTTCCTCCCTCCCTTCCTTCCTTCCTCCCTTCCTTCCTTCCTCTCTTCTTTCTTTCTCTCTCTTTCTTTCTTTCTTTCTTTCTTTCTTTCTTTCTTTCTTTCTTTCTTTCTTTCTTTCTTTCTTTCTTTCTTCTTCTTCTTTTTTTTTTTTTGAGACTTCTTTCTTCCTTTTTTTTTTGAGACAGGGTCTTGCTCTTGCTCTGTCTCCCAGGTTGGAGTACAGCGGTGCAATCATGGTTCACTGCAGGGCTCCAGGGCTCCAGGGCTCAAGCAGTTCTCCCACCTCAGCCTTTTAAGTAGTTGGGACTACAAGCACTCACCACCACACCCTGCTAATTTTTGTATTATTAGCTGGGGTCTCACTATGTTGCCCAGGCTGGTCCTAAATTCCCAGATCTGTAGAAAGAGAAAATAAATTAAAGATTTTTAAGAGGAGAAAAGCATTTACTATGAATTAGGAAAACAGCTTGATCATTTAAACAAACAAAAATCACTAATTTCTGCTTATGACATTTCAGGTGTTCTACATTAGTACACACACAATCTGTTACTAAAATTAAGTTTGAGAATGTAACTATTTTTTACTTCATTCTTCTTCAGATCACAAAATTTACCTTTCAGCAAGCACAATGCTTATTTTTATCATGTGGCATAAATGAATGCCTTTAGTCGTTTTGAGGGTAGGCCATTCCAAATCTTCTGAAAAGCAAACCTCTGAACAGGTGGCGAGTCTTCAGATTTCCTCTTGGTGAAGGCTATGCACAGGAAGGAAATTACATGTTGTGGATTAATTCTGTCTCATGCTGCTATTTCTTTTTGTCGTGAATTCTATTTCCTATAAACACGATTAGTCGACGGATCAGTGGTTTGCTATTATTAACTAGGTTAGGTCTATTTTTTAGTGTCCCTGTCCAAAAGTTACTCAGCACGGGCTTGAACCACACCATATGTCCAACGTTGCTATGTTTTTGTCAAAATAATGCAATATGGTGATATCCCTTATATTCCCTTCAACTAAAGGAAAAGTCATTGCCTTTTTCTAAGGACAGACATTGGAATTAGCTATCACATAACTAGTTTTTATTTGTTTCATGACATGTCATAGGATATGATATCAACAATGATAACCTAACCTGCTTTATTTTTAAAAAATATTCTTTGAACTCATGAGATGTATTTGTTTATTAAATTAAAATACATTTGAAGCTGTCTTTAAAAGTCTTATCAATGAATTTTTTTCCTTATTTTAAAATGAGATGTACATAGTACAGTGGTTAAGAAAGTTGGGTCTCCTGTCAGTGTGACATAATTCAAACTCTGGCCCTATATCACTCAATATCTATATGATCTTGGGCTAGTTATTTCACATCTTTGTGCCTCAGTTTTCCTATCTGTAAAATTGGGATAATGACAATGACTACCATTTCTACTGCAGAGTTTCATGTGTGTATGCATTTTTATTTAAAATAAATAAATTAACACATACACAGTATTTAGGACAGGATCTTGTGTGCCATATTCATTCAATAAATGTTAGATATTATTACTACCGTTCCTACCGTCACCATATCCTCATTTAGGAATATTTACTTTGTACCTGCTTTGTGTCAAGCACTGGACTTACAAGGGTGAAAAAAATTATGGACAAGGTCTCTTCTATCCTAGAGCTTACATTCAGTGGTGAGATACAAGTAATGATAATATTTAAGCAAAAAAGTCAAATAAACAAACAATAAGAAATGCATGAATTAACATAGAGTGAAATGATTAAAAGAAAAAAGGGTTTATTAGACTGAGTTGTCCGGGAAAGCTTCTCTGCGTTTGTGATATTTAAACTCAAATTTCATGATAATAAAAAACAAGCCAATAAGGTGAAAGAGGGAAAATGGGGAGATAACTGTCAGTGAAAAGCCTATAGGACTGAAAACGTAAGGGGTGTTTGAGGAAAAGGAAAGCAGTCAGAGTGGCTGGAGAGTGTGGACAAAGCGGAGGGAGTCAAAAAGTACGGCCAGGGTTGGCACACGGAGAGCAGCTGGACAGGCTAAGGAGTCTGAGTGTTACTTTTTGTGCAAATGGAAGCCATTGCAGAGGAGAGACAGATTACATGTATGTTTCAAAAAGATTGGGTTGGGGCAAAGGAAGAAGCAGAGACTTAGGTTAGGAGGCTACCAACGTGGCCCATGTGAGAAACAATGGTGACCTGGTCTACAGAGGTGGGAGCCAGGGTGGAAAGAAGAGGAAAGATTAAATTTTTGGAATTACTTTTTTGCCGTGCTGTCTACTTGGCCACGCATCAGACAGATACCCAAAAGTGTTCGATGATAGCGATCGTCATTCATAACATTTATTACAGACCCAGACACTGTACTAGTTATTTGGAATTTAAACTTATAGTCTTGTAGGGAAAATGGACATATGAAAATTAATAAAACACAGTGTGATATTAACTCCAGTGAGCCAAAATAGATGGTATGAGTACTCAAAGGAGCTCACTCATCTGGGGCTTTCCAAAAGAATTCATGGAAGAAATAATATTGGATTTTAGTTTCCATTGATGATGGGTTGGAGTTTGGCATGTTGAGAAATGGGCAGAAATGCATTCTGGACAGAAAATGGAGGTGTGTGGCTCAGAATTATAAACGTTCATGGAGTGTTTAGAGAAAATTACATGAATTGCTGTGACTGGAACACGGCAAATAGATAAGACAGAATGGTGAAGAGAAGGGTGAGTGTGATGGAGTTTTATTTTGCAGGAAGGAGTGCTGGGGAACTGGCAAACCAATATGAGATATAAAAATTGTTAAAAATTTGGCAAAGATTCAGAATTTAATTTCAGGAAAAATTTCACTAAAAACCAAATTAACCAAAAACTATATATCATAATATTAATTCTGATAAGTATTTACCACAAAACCAAGGGTAATTGACTAAATCACTCCTTGACATAACAAGATGAAACCAATAATATCTCTGCGGAGCATGCAGAGTAACTAGCTAATATGAATACAGGAACTGTGTCCTTTTAGAACCATGTTAACTGCTTATTGTATAAATGTTCATGCATTCATTTCTTTTAGCAAACAGCATAAGCAAGGAAATAATACTTTAATGCATTTATTCAGTGGTAACAATGATACTTGCATTAAATCAGATTTATCTGACAACAAATTTTGAAAGCACTTTACACAGAATATATACCCGAACATCAGTTGCTACAAACATGACAAAGGACTTAGATATTTAGTCTATCATGAATTCATAATAATAAATAAGAAAAACGTTAAGACAAACACATAAATGACAAAGAGCTTGAACAGACAATTCAGTGAGAAGGAAAAACAAATACCCAGACATAAAATGCAATGCAGTGTACAATATATATGTATATGTGTCTTGTCTATATATTTATGCTCACAGCTCAAATCATGTAAGTGAAATTCAACTTATATTGTTTATAAAAGTAAATTGTTGGCAAGCAGTTTGACAATATGTATAAAGATCCTTAAAAGCTTTTATATATTTGGTAAGTAATTCTGTGTCTGAGAATCTATCCTAAGAAAACAAACCTAAGTAGGTAAAGTGTTACAGTAATGAAAATAGCTGAAATTTCTATCTATAGAGAAATGTTTTGAGATTCAGTGGTAAAGTCATTTCATGTAATATGATACAGATTTTGAAATATGACTTATTAAAATTGTGCAATAACATAGGAAATGCTACCAATAGAGAGTAAAAATCAGAGTAAAAATTATGTTTATGCTTAAAGTATATGAAATACCTTAGACACACACACACACACACACAGAGAGAGATGAAAGACATTTACTATGTGGATGTTTCTAAGTGAAGGAATACAGTTCTTTTATTTTTTTTCCTGAATGTTTCATATTTTCTTGAAGCAGCACATAATACTATTAAAACATCATTTTACTTAAAATTTTACAACTTTATTGTCAGATGACAGATTAATTCTATTTTAAATTATAAAAATTTAAGACCGGAGAATTTTTTAAAACTAGCTCAGGCACAATATTAGGTACCGGTGAAATAATGGAAAAAAACCGGTCCCTGCCTTTGAGCAGCAACTCGACTCGGGCATGGTGAGATGCACAGCTCCTGGTCAGGCCCCTAGCTTGTGGAAACCATCATAACCAGGCCTTCCAAACAGATGGTATCTATCCACTAGTTTCTGACTTTTTTTTTTTTTTTAAAAGGGTGAATCTCACTATGTTGCCCACGCTGGCCTTGAACTCCTAGGCTCAAGCGATCCCCCTGCCTCATTCTCCAGAGTAGCAGGGATTACAGGTGTGTGCCACCACATCTGACTTCCATCAACTTTTGTTAAAGATTGCCAGGGTGGAGCTGGGTGTGATGGCACATGCCTGGCAGTCCTAGCTACTCAGGAGGCTGAGACGGGAAGATAACTGGAACCCAGGAGTTCAAGGCCAGCTTGGGCAACGTACTGAGACTCCATCCCTAAAATAAAATATAATATAATAAAATACAAAATAAAATAAAATAAAGATTGCCAGGGTGATAATTTAACTTGCCCAAGAAATTCACCACATCCCTACTACATGTGAATAAAATTTTCTATCATATAATTTTTCTTAATCCTGTTTTTATAGGAGATGACAAACAGTTATCACCATTCTTTATATAATAGCCCACCTAATATTAAAAGTAGAATTATGCTTTTTATGGTCTTCCCCAATCTGCCTGTGCTATCCATGCTGAGAGACACCTTCAGAGTTAACACAAATAACTTTGTTTTACAACTATAGTCTATTGCTGACTGTGAAATTTGTGATATATTAGCAGAAATTGCCTTGACTATTGAATTCGCATATGTCCAGTTGGTCTCCACCTAGGACTTCGTGACTTTTGCTTTTCCTGATGAACTGTTTTTCACTTTTCCAATATTTGTGCCTAACAAGTCATTCACTGCCTGTTTCAGACCACATTTTTCTGTATCACCCAAACATTTAGCTTGACTTATGTTTTTCTCAGTTGAATGTTACTTCACCATTTAATGAGAAAGTTGTATCTCTCTAGATTGCTAATTGTTAGGTGATATGGTACACAATATAAATATTATTTTGCCAGCATAAATAACATTTCTATCTTCTTAGTAATCTATTGAATGATCTTCTTATAGAGGCAGATAAAATTGGTTGCCATGGTGAGCTTATCATTAGACTTATCAAAAGATTAGTCAGTCTTTTGATGGAAATAAATTTTTGACTAGAAATTTCCGGGTAACATCTGTAGTCTTTATTAAGTTTTGATTTATATGATTTAAATTATAAAATCACATTCATCATATAAAATTAAAATATAACAGGTCAGAAATAAGAAGTGAAATTCTCTTTCTCCCATCATCCCTGGTTTCCTTTATTAGAAACTCTATTGAGATTTTCATATGTATCTGCATATATTAATCTAGACGTTTTCCTGTATCCACAACATTATATATGTATATAATGTATTATAACTTACATAACTTTTATATAGTATCTATATATTTTGGTTTTACTCAAATGATATCATAGTATAACATTATTCTGCGGCATTTTCACCAAAATTATCATGCAAAAATGTTCACATCAGTCATTTTTAGATCTTCCTTATTGTTTTTTACAATAAGGAAAAAGTTTTTTATAATTACACATTATTTGTGTGGATTATTATGAACTATTTCACTAACCTTAGTGAGTTAGTCTATGATACCAAGTGCCTGCAATGTGCTTGGACTTATGTTGGATGTCACGGAGACAATGGTGAACAAAGACCAAGACTTTGTCCTCAAAGTGCTCACATTTTTGTGTCCTTAAGGGTAAGTTTTTCACTATTATGGCAGCTTTTCTATTCAGAGTAAATTTTATTCCATTTACATTTATTGATTTCATAAATGTGTGTGGTCCTATTCTGATGTCTTAGAAGATTGTATTTCATGATTTATTGTTTCCTTCTTATCTGTTTATAGCTAAATAGAATATACTCTTTTTTCTTTGTATTTTTTGAGGCGTGAAAAATGTCAGCTAAACTAACCAGCTTCTTTTAGTAGTTTTCTCAATATCTTTAGATAATACATTTGAATAACTATTTTTTGATTATAAACTTTGTACAATGTCTGTCTGCTTTGAAACTTAGAAATTACTATGTTTGTATTTTCCTTTACCCCCTAATTTTAGTACTTTACATGATTGTAAAATATCAAGGATTATAACATTTACATTCTGTTCTGTAACCATAATTATCTTGTTTATTTAAATCTAGTTTTTCATTTATATTGATCTAGCACTAGCACTCATCCTTTATAGGGAACACATTATTTAAATTTATCTCTTGCTTGAAGATATCTTTCTCTCTCTCTCCATGTATATATATAGCCATATATATAACCATAGATATGATACATATATCCTTTACATGTATGATGCATAACTTTAAAAATGGCCAATATATTTCATATGTCCTTGAATATTCCAAAAAATATATTATTTTTGTCTATATACTTGACTGAAAAATCTTGGCTGAGTATTCAATGTATGAGTCATATATTTTTTCTGTTAGAATTTTGCCAGCATTTCTCCACTGCATTGGTCATTGGAAGTTGATGTCTGAAATGCTCCCAATTTGCTTTTTCTCCACCACACTGTGCCAAGCACACTGTTCAGTGCTGGAGGCACAAAGAGGGAGAAGTCTCAGATCCCTTCATTGAGAAGCGCCCCTACTAGGGCGTGGTTGAACCCGAAATCAGTCATCTGGCTCATGGGCATAATTCTAACCCAATATTTTTGAATAGAAAGTTTATCTTTTGTCTTAAGGTCCAGTAACTTCACTAGAATCTTCAGTTAACGTTCCACATCATTTCTTTGTAAACACAGTGTGATTCTTTAACTTCATCATTTTTTTATTTCAAGAAAGACTTCTTTTGTTAAACCATTGAGCTTTTGCCTGTTTCTTTGTTTTTGTTTGTTTTCTTCAAGAATATCAATTTTGACTATTTGGTCACTTTTTGTCTTCCGTTAACTATTGTTTTCTGTCTCCAGTGAGTTTATATGTTTATTCCTTTATTTTTGTGTAATTTGCTTCTTACTGGTTTCAGCAGTATATATTCCATTCTTTTCTTTTTTAAGTGTAGTTTTCATCTGAAAAATGACTATACTGATATTTTCAATTTATTTTCTGAAATTGGTGAGTTCATGTTTTATCTCTGTTATCTTTGATCCCTCTTTTATATATTTAATATCTTTTTAAAATTCTTCACCCAGAATCCATGGTCCATGTTACATGTTTTCTTTAGATTCTTTAAGAATATCATTTGATATAAATTTGGTTCTGCTTATTGGGAGCAATTCTTTTATAAAATGTGGTATTTATCTGATCTTTGATTCTCTCTCCCTCCTGTATTCTCTCTTTGAGATGAGCAGATCACCCACAAAGAGGATTAGGCTTGTTGTAATTGGATGTTTAAATTACACATTTTACTTTTGTAATTTAGAGTTTACTTATCACTCTAAGATCTGGTGACCTTGGTATGCAATTACAAAGAGGGAGGTTCCTCTTTCTTCAGCTCTTCTAACTCCATCTAACTCCATCTTTGGCAGTTTCTTGGTGTCAGGAGTTTTAATGGGAAAAACAAAAACAAAAACAAAAATGGCCAATATTTGTCATTCACCTCTAGTCAGCCTCTTCTACTGTTCTGGGAAGTAGAAGTTAAGCCTACGTTTTCTCACCCTAAGTAAAGGATCACTAATTACCAGTTACTTTTAAGAAATCTGCATCTTGGTCAAGATCTAGAGAGATGAGTTGTCCCTTATTTTTTCTCTCATTTTGTATCAATTCAATTGTATTTTGCAATAGTCTTCTTTGTCTTTTTTTGTGGGGTTGTCATAGCTTCCCAGTTTCATTGCAATCATACTTTTATCTAATTCTTAATTATTTTAATCAATGTTTTAAATTACAATGTAGGAAGTAAACAAATATTTTTTTCTTCTTATATTTTACAAGAAATCTCCATTAGTATGCTTCAAAATAAAGTAATCAAAGTAAACATTTGCATCAATTAAAATTTTTTTTTTTTTCAAAAAGAAAACACTTCAGTGTTTTCAATTCTTAGGTAAAGTGTTTTCAGTTCTTAGGGACAAATGTATTCTGGAATTCTAATTTTGATTTCTTCACTTACCAGCTGTGATTCTTCTATTTAGTCATTAAATTTTTCTCAGTCTTAAGGGGATAAAAATTGCTACTTACCTCACAAGGCTATTTTGTGGGAAGCAAACAGAATAAGACATGAAAATTTGGAAAGCTACCAATTCTAATGCAAGTATCAGGTACAGTCAATATTTACATTTTACATATGGAAAAACACTTCCATTTTTCCACATGGAAAAAACCCCAAGTCATGGCTTATAGAAGACCATAATAGATTCTGCTTTTTGCTTGAGTTGTCTTCGGATGAGCTCTGATTTTTTCACCAAGTCTGATGGAGATTGACAATAGTGCGTATCAGTGTGTCCGTGCTTGCAATTACTTCCATTTATCCTCACCTTCCGTCATGTTTGCTAAAAGAGATAATGAACCTGGCAGTTCTGTTTCTGAGCGTGTGCGAGGCAGAAATGGATATGGAGAGTTAAGAAGTTTATACCAGAAAGAGCCAAAATTTACTTACACAAAAACATAATGGAGAAATAAAGGGCAGTGGAGACCTCATTTTGGAGGAAAGTTTTGATGGAGGATGAGAATGAAAAAGGAAGAGAGAGGCCAAGTTAAAAAGAGAGAAAAGACATTTTAAATTTGTGTTTTTTCTTTATGAATTGAATTTCTTTTAATATTTTCAAAAGATACAAGTATGTGTTAGAACTATTTTTAATTACTTTGGGATGAAGGACTGTGTTTCTTTATGATACAGAATGACATAGGACTTACATGGGATGCCTCCGATTTCCTCTTCCTATCTATTGTCAGCTCTTCTCCATCCCGTGCTGTGCCCTGGGAGACTGACCTTGACCTTTGGCGAATGGGCTGCATGATCAAGCAACTAGCAGGAGAAGAGTGAGATTGGGGATTTTGTCCTAATACCCTCTTCCTGACAGTCACTGTGGACCAACTGTGTCGTTTGACAATAGGTCATGGTTCCTCTGAGATCCTTCCCTGATTCCAGGTTTAAATAACCACTCCCCTCTTACCCTTTTTGACTCAGGTGTTTTAGCCCCCCACCATCTTTAGCTCCCAGATAGTGTTACTATCCTTTGTGGTTTCTGTACAACCTGTATAGACTCGTAAATAATTCCTTTATAAACTCCCTACTCAACAAGAAATGTGTTATTTTCTGCTAGAACCCCAAATCGTACAGGACAAAATGAAGCCCTTAGACTTATTTGGTTTGTAGAAATATGCTTTAAGTGTCTGATATTGTCCTAGAAAAAACACAGACGATTTAATGGCCATGTAACTCAATCAGCTGAAATGGTCAGAACTTTTTTTTTTTGGCCAGTTTTCATGCTTTATATATTTCATGCTTTCCACGTCAATAGTAGATGCTAATTTTATGGAGAAGGAGCAAAGAATGCAAATTTTTTTTGAGCCTCAACTTTGCGTTGGTGTCAGTGTTCAGCATTTCATTGTCCTTTGTAATCCTGGTATAAATCTCATAAGAAAGGTCTATTTTGCTTCATTTTTATAGATGAATATCATGAGTCTTAAATTGTTTCTCCAACTCTCAAAACTGGCAAATGACAGAGCTATGATTCAAACAGCTTTGATCTCAATTCATCTAAAATTGGTTTCCCAAATTTATTATACCTCAGAAGTACATAGAAATTCTTTTAAAAATACAAATTATGGCCGGGCGCGGTGGCTCAAGCCTATAATCCCAGCACTTTGGGAGGCCGAGACGGGCGGATCACGAGGTCAGGAGATCGAGACCATCCTGGCTGACACGGTGAAACCCCGTCTCTACTAAAAAAAAAAATACAAAAACTTAGCCGGGCGAGGTGGCGGGCGCCTGTAGTCCCAGCTACTCGGGAGGCTGAGGCAGGAGAATGGCGTAAACCCACGAGGCGGAGCTTGCAGTGAGCTGAGATCCGGCCAGTGCACTCCAGCCTGGGCGACAGAGCGAGACTCCGTCTCAAAAAAAAAAAAAAACAAAAAAAACAAAAAAAAACAAATTATTAGGATTATCTCAGATATGCCAAAAAAAAAAAAGAAAAAAAAAGGAAAGAGAAAACCTCTAGGAGTTCTCGATTTGGAAAGATTATCTAAGCCCTCACCCCTCACATGGTGATTGTGATATGCAGCCAGTTTGGAAAGACTAAAGTTTCAAATTGATTCTGCCCCTAAATGTCAATCAACTTTTTCCCCCTGGTTCTTATATTTGGCCTTTCAAATACCTTAAACAGAGCCATATACCAGAGAGTGAATTATTTCACTGTCTAAGAGTGTTTATTCTGATTTTCCCTCTAGGTCACTTCTTAAACAAATTCTGAATTGTAGCAATTCTGCACGAACTAAAAGCAATGTGAATTATGTCCAGAAATATGGTACTAGAAATATTTTTATCTGTACTAACATTATTTAAAACAAAATTATATTATAGTCCATGAAAATACATAGAGCCTAAATTAGTAATTCTGATATATACAAAGTGAGCTAAGTATATGTTTTTGTAAAAGTTGACATAAAATGAGAATATTGGTATTGAATTACTTCATAATCTCTCTCTAATCTTCATGCACAATAGGTACTGTCTCTATTGGAGGTGCCTTTCATGTGTTTAAGGAATGAAGAAGAAAATGTGGTATTATATAAACCCTTAGGACTTGAGACTGAGTCTTTGTCCTATTCATCAAATTATAATACTACATAATTTTTCACTGCCTACTACTCCATTTCTCCATCTTTTTTTTTTTTTCCATTTCTCCATCTTTAAAATGACAGCAAGTCCACCTTACTAAAGTTCAAAGAAATATCCTATAAAATCTGCTCTTTAAAAAAATAAATCATCCTTTCTGTGCCATCGTGGTGTGTGCTTGACTCCGCTTCTCGCCATGTCTTCTCACAAGACTTTTAGGATTAAGTGATTCCTGGCCAAGAAACAAAAGCAAAATGATCCCATTCCCCAGTGGATTCAGAAGAAAACTGGTAATAAAATCAGGTACAACTCCAAAAGGAGACATTGGCGAAGAACCAAACTGGGTCTATACGGAATTGCACATGAGACGGCACACACATTTATGCTGTCTGAGGGTCGCAACCATATTACCATATCAAAATGAAAATGTCACCACTATCTGGAGAGTTGGACATATTTTGTTGGGAATATATTTTTTTCTATCTGAATCTGTTATGAACGTGTTGGTTTGCTGGGTTCAGTAATAAATACGTGAGACCTTTTGTTCAAATAAAAATCAATCAAGCACTGACTTCTGAGATGACATTAAATAAAAGTATCGAAATAAAAGCAATAAAATAAAGGTAAACATGAACTACTGTGGGCTTCATAAAAAGTCCAAATATCAATGAAAGTGTGTTATTCAACCATTGAGAATCCACCGCCTAACGTAATGCTTACCTGTTAGTAGGTGCTAAATTTTGGCTTTACTTGGCTATATTGGATCATTATTATATAATGTAACAGATATGTGCATGGATTTTTTAGAGCTACATTTATACTTGAAAATCTATCAAAATAATTACTCCTGCTAGGAATTTTAGAATGACTTTTTAATATAAACATTTACCCACCAAGGAACAACAAGGTTAGAAGGGTCTCAGTGATAGGAATTGTAACACCAGTTTTTCTTGATAAAGTTCCTCACACAGGGGAACAGAGTGAGCATGAAATAAAAAGTGATTTTTCCTTTTAAGTTTGATTGGTTGAAAGGGAGATCCAAGCAACAGTAGGTATGAAATAATGATTCTGAATTTTTATTTCCGTTGTAGATAGCAAACGTTTGCTTCTGAAAAGCTTTAGAGTGTTTTAACCTAAATACCTAAATATTTCATCTTAAGCACTTAAAATGTTTAAGTGTTATAACCTTAAAATATTTTATTTTTAGCATCTATTAGAGTAAAAACAGTACAAATGTTTCTTGTTCTATCCATGAAAAAAAAATTTTCCCAAAAATGTGATACCAAAAATCAGCATCTGCTTTATAACATTCACATCTGTTTGCTCAGTGGAATTTGCCCTGCCCTCAGCCACAACTAGTACTGAGTGAATCCACAAGCCTGCTGCTTCCGGGAAGAATCACGTAGCCAAACACTCAACTTCAATGGGCCCCCTTTCTCCATGCATCCTGATACAGTTGCTAATGAAGCCATGCATCCCATCTGTCAAGCATTTTGGGTGATCACACCAAAGAGGCCATGGGCAAAAAGACTCCTACATACGCCCAGCTCAACAAAACCTACTGGGTACGCCCTATTTTATTTTTAGGGTAATACTTTCTTCTTTGTTTAAAATTCAATAGGAAAAATTTTGTCTTTAAAAACTTATGAAAGTCTTTGAAAATTAGACTGTTTAATTTGAATTCTAGGAATGTGCTTTTATATTGCCTTATGTGTGATGTATTTTTATAGAAGACATTGGACACTCAAAGCTGATAGCCACCCTTGTTAGAAAGGAACCATTTAGTCAGTATTTCTGAGGCCTGCTGTCATCTTTCCTTCCCCAGTTTGGGAAAGAGAGGGTAGTATAACGGGTTATTTTGGAATATGCAAGACATGTGCTGATGAGCTATAATTACATAGTGACATCTTGGGAACTGCTATTTGGATGCTGCTTCCAGCTAATTTATAATTCTTTAAAGATGCTACATTCACATTGGTTTTCATTTACTTTCATTTTTTCCCATTTCTTTAAAGCTGGTAGCTTTGCTATTGGTTTAAATGTCTCAACGATTTTCTTCTATGACATCCAGCCAAGCTGAATTAAAATTTGTAACAGCCAAGAAGCTAAAGGTAAAGCTCCTTAAATATTTTCCAAAATTATCTAATTGCTTCTTACAAAACTTCTCCTTTGTTTTTGGTGCCTTGTTTTATCCTAATTGTCAGACAGTCCGAGTGGATCTTACTAGGATCCCATGATCTTTTTGCCCTTACTGGGGCCTGATGTCATTTTTTGTAGACACTGATCTAAAATAAAATGACATGAATCTGTTCAGATGAAACCATTTCAGTTATTCACTTTTTGGGTATCTGAGTGTCTCCTATGGACACAGTTTCTTCCCCCAGGTAGCTGACAATTTTCTGGGACAGGGGCAGGGAAAGAGGTGGCAACAATAGCGGGCACAATGGGAGTACTTCTCTGGAGGAGTTAGGAAAGGCGCTGGTAAGTAACTTCTCTGTTGAGACACATGGTATAATAGGCGTCATTCAGAGAAGGGGATAGGGCAAGGAAGAACACTTTAGGCACGGGAACAGTATGTCTCACAAGAAGGAGGTGAGAGCGAGCAGGCTACACTGGGTGTGTACTGCAAGTTGCTGGATAGGATAAAAGTTCTAAAGGCAAACTCAGCCCATTTATAGAATGTCTTAAAACATGGCCAGTTAGTTTTCCCTTGATCCTGATGCCCGTTTTGCTTCTTGGCATGTTACAGCAAATGAACAGGAGTCAATGTGATAGAGATAGCAAAGTTGTCTCTCTAGTCATCCTATTAGCATGTTGTAGTGAATTGGAGAAGAGAAGCAGCTGCAGGTTTGCAGAGGAAATCAAAACAGCAATTGCTGATACTCCCCATGGAACCATCAGGAAAGCTCAGCACAGAGAGGCTCTAGGGAGCCCAGCAGTCTGAAATGCTGCCATGTCAGTGCCTGGAGGGCATTGCTTTGCTCTCCACTGCATTTGATCCTCAATCTTCATTTGATACTGAAACAAACTTCCAGTAAAAAAAGCGTGGTTGGGTTTCCAAGATCAATGGTGAACTGATCTAATTTTTACTTGAGGCAACTTGAGATTTAGTTTTAACTTTAGATAGAAATATCTGAGAATTTGAGTACCAGTTACCCATTCAAAAGATAACTAGATTTCAACTCTGTCCCAAGGAAAATTTACGTAAAATTATTCTCTCCTCCCCTCCTCCCCCTTCTTTTCTTCTCTCCTCCTCCTTCTCCTCCCCCTTCTCTTTTTCTTCTTTTCTCACTCCTCCTCCTCCTCTCTCTTTCTTGCCTGAAGATCAAGGGCTTCGCTAGTGATGTGCTCAACCTTAACCAACATGCAAATTATGAATCTCCTGAAAGGGGGTCAGGAACGTGGGAAACAGCTCCCTCTGTCTGGTGAGGACTGAAGACGTAGTATTTATACTTACGTTTTTAAAAGATGCAGAAAAAAATGCTCCTGCTTTTTTCCAGAGCAAAGATAGAAAGCAATGGGTGTCATAGAAATAGTTACTGGAATCAGAGGCAGATTCCTACTTCTGGCTCTATCACAGACTAGCTATGTGGCATCTTGGGCTAGTATGGGATGTTCGGTGCCTTACCTTGATCCATAACTCAGCTTCGTTTGTTCTTCGTATAAAAAACATATGTGGAGAACCTAGAATCTTCTAGGTGCTATGCTGGCTTCTGGGAAATGTGAGGTAAAAACATCCTACCTTGATAGAGCAAAGAGTCAATGGGGGGAAGGCTCCCACAGGGGCGATAAATCCAGAGAGAAACAAATGCACAATGATAGTGGGATGAGGTATATGCTATGAGACAGGTGGACGTGAGTATCTACAAAAACAAGGAGGAGTATCACGTAACAGGGATTGGAGAACCAAGGTTGCAGTCAGGGAAGTTTTTATACGCGAAGGGATGTTGGATGAACAACATAGAATGAGACTCTGTTTGAAAAAACAAAACAAAACAAAAAACCAGAAAAATAAAATCATTTAGGAGAGATAGCTGGGGGTGGGGATGTGCTCACAAAGGGAGTGTGGTCTGTTTAGGAGCTGTGAGGGGCTCAGTTTGTGTCCACAGGGCAGGTGTGTTGATGAGTGGTGGGCATGGACCTGGAGGGGTGAGCTGAGGCCAGAGCCGCACGCTGCCTAGCATGTCATGCTTTGGATCTCATCTGGAGAGTGGTGGGAGCCACTGAAGTCTTTCCACAGAGGAGTAAGATCATGATGTTCACATTTCAGGACAGCCTCTTTGTGCCATGGTAGTGCCCTTCACAAAATGAGCAGGTGAATGAGGAGATGATTTCTAACTTTTTCAAATCATGTTCTTTTTGAGAATATTAAAATTTTCTCTAGAAAAAATGCACATACAGGTAAAACTATCTATTAACTTCCTGGGAGGCATAAAAAGCCCCTGAAGTCCAACCATGGATCACCGGCTTATCAGCTCCCCATTGTAAAGGTCTGTGTTTACTTTTCACATTAGTTTTACTTGAATGGTATTTGTCCCAAACCTGCTTAAGAGATCCTGACTTTTTTACATTATTATTTGTATGTTCCTCATTCAGTTAATGAAATCAAGAGCACATCTCTCACAAAGCTCATGTGCAGCTCCTCTGACATTACTCACAGCACAGTAGGTGGAATCACTGATCCCTGGAGATGGCTATCATTCTAGGGAACTTGGGCTCAGGGATGGCGGAACGACCTGTCTACTGTCATATTCTTCTCATGGGCTCCAGTCCCCAGACTGAAAGTATGGGGGCAAGAAATCAACACTCATGTAGGGATTTGGCAAGCAATCCCAAGCTCCCAGAGTCCTAGGCAGGCCAGTGTCTAGGGTGAGGCAGTCCCAAAAGGGAACTAAGACAGAGTTCCTCTGCCAATTGTGGCAGAGGAAAGGACACAGCAGCTTGGGCAAGCAAGAGGGGTGGAGGCAGGCAACCTCCACAGTCGCTTGGCCTCCTGGCCTCATTGGTGGGTGGGGCACAGTACAAATGGCTAGTCCCTCATATGTGGGCTGAAGCTGCTGCTGTGCTCCCAGCTTGATGTCATTTGGCTGTGTCCCCACCCAAATCTTATCTTGAATTGTAGTTCCCATAATTTCCACATGTTATGGGAGGGACCTGGTGGAAGATAATTGAATTAGGGGGCGGCTTCCCCATACTCTTCTCATGATAGTGAAGAAGTCTTACAAGATCTAATGGTTTTATAAGAGGAAACCCCTTTCATTTGGCTTTCATTCTTTCTTGTTTGCTGCCATGTAAGACATGCTTTTCACCTTCCACCATGATTGTCAGGCCTCTCCAGCCACGTGAAACTGTGGGTCCGTTAAACATTTTTCTTTGTAAATTACCCAGTCTCTTTAAGTATGTTTTTATCAGTAGCATGAGCACAGACTAATACACAGCTATAGGTGGAAGTGGCTGAGGAATTGGGCCAGAAAGGGACATGGGTTAGTTCAGTTTGAAGAGCTAGGAAGAAGAAAAGAAAGGAGAAGACTGAAGGTGGCCCCTCTAGGAACACTGCAGACTCTCAGCCTTGTCAAATGCTTGGGTTATTGCATGAAGCTCTCCCTTTTCCTTGTGGCTTAGTGGCAGCAAGTATGCAAAATGAAAGTATTGATGGAAAAATATACATTGGCAGAAGATGGGTAGTTGGGGACTCTTGGTTAGAAATGCACATGCATGCGGCCGGGCATGGTGGCTCACACCTGTAATCCTAGCATTTTGGGAGGTTGAGGCAGGTGGATCACTTCAGGTCAGGAGTTTGAGATCAGCCTGGCCTCTACTAAAACTACAAAAATTAGCTGGGCGTGGTGGTGCATGCCTATAGTCCCAACTACTCAGGCTGCTGAGGCAGAAGAATCACTTGAACCCGGGGGGTGGGGGTTGCGGTGAGACGAGATCATGCCACTGCTCTCCAACCTGGGAGACAGAGTGAGACTCCATCTCAAAAAAAAAAAAAAAAAAAAAGAAAAGGAAAGAAATGGACATGCATGCAAAAAGGAAAAAAAAGATGTCACATTAAAACCATCAGCAAACTAATGAAAGAATTTACTTCCAGAAAATGTCCTCATTATTGGAGGCAATGCATTTCTGTCTGTTGGTAGCTATGTTTTTTGTTTTTCTAATAGGTAAACCGTGTATACCTACCATTATATATTCTGATGCTATTGTCATCAGACAGAGAAATGCCAATTTTAAGTTAGCTGATGCTTAGTTTTGTAATAATTTTACTGCCTTTATTATGCCAATTATTATGCAAGCCAGTTCTCCTTTTTCCTTATATACCAGATCAAGTTCAGTACAAGCCACCACATTCAGATAGAAACGTGTTAATTCCATGTGAAAAGTGAAGGTAAATGGATGTCATTTCATTGAGCAAAAATACCATTTATTTTTTCAACATATTTTCAGTTCTTGACCAATTATTTTAACTCAAAACTACTTAGATTTAATTTATAAACCTTATATTGCATAACATATAACTTGAAGTCAAACTCTTCTACATGGACTAATTTTATTGTATTATCAGCATCAACTCTTAATTTTAAATCAAGCAATGTCACCCATTTGTTAAGCTTCCCTTATGTTCTAGCATGAGCAATTACTAGTAAGTTATGTAATAATTTAGGACAGATCTTGTGGAGGAAGTAAGTTCTGCTTAAAATGTGGGAAATTCCAGAAGATGTGTTAACTCTTTAGAGCATCTGATTCAGTAGTTCCCAAGGGAAGTTTGAGAAATGTTCCAACAAAATTTGACAAGTTGCTAGGCACCTCTGATTTAACTTCTGCATTAGTTACTTTTTTCTTTTTTTTCTTTTTTTGAGACAGAGTCTCCCTGTGTCGCCCAGGCTGGAGTGCAGTGGCATGATCACGGCTCAGTGCAACTTCGACCTCCTGGGTTCAAGTGATCCTCCCAACTCACCTTGCTGGAGTACCTGGGACTACAGTGTGTCCCACCATGCCTGGCTAATTTCTTTTAATTTTTTTTTTGTAGAGATGGGGTCTCCCTGTGTTGCCCAGCTGGTCTTGAACTCCTAAACTCTCAGTCTTCCAAAATGCTGGGATTACAGGCGTGAACCACCATGCCTAGCCTATTAGCTACTTTTGAAAGACTTCATAGAATGTATGTGATCTGTGTTCTCAATCTTCTTTTCATTTCTCCCTCTCTTTCATCAACTCATACCATTCCTTTATGTTTCCAAATCAAAACACTGCTCCATCCTGATTTAGAGTTTGAGTTATTGCCATGCCTCACCTGTCCCCAAGTTGAAACTGGATGGTCTTGGGTATTTTCCAATCAATGAGTTTTTTTAAAAAAATTATTGTCAAATTCAAGTTTATTTTCTAAAACCTGTTTCTCCACCAGAACCAGTCCCACCATCACGAATGCCTTGTAAAGGTTTCCTGACATTAAGTTTAAAGGAAGATGCATTAAGTACCAAGGTTACAGTCCTAAAGCAGCATGCTCACTCACAATATTAGCCCGTTAGAAGTTAGGTGATGGTAAGTGTCTCTGCAGACCTATGGTCTTAACTAGCTAGACATGTATAAGATCAGGCACTAGTAGCCTTTTTTCTCCCAGCAGAAGTGTCTGAGACAGAAGGAAGGCTGTTTTTCTTCATCTACTTGCCCCCCAGAAGCAGAATTCCTTGATGAGATAATTACTTACTCACAACTTACCCAGGAAATCACATTACTTTGTGATCTTGCCTCATTTATAAGCAAGGGTAAGTCTTCCATCATAGGACCTTTCTGACTGTATGTCTGCCTGTGGGTTAATAAGACAACTGATTGAACGTGACAGTCTCTTTTCTTTTGTGATTTATAAATCTTATTTATTCCTTTAAATGGGTTGCTTCCCCCTCTCATCTGCTTTATTTCTCCTTTATTTATTGTGTGATAATGTCATGTAAAAAGCAAAGGCAAATGGATGTTATTTCTTTGGGTAAAAATGCTATTTATTTTTCAACAATTTTTGGTTCATGTTTTGTGGCTGACTGAACGGTTTTCCTGTCACTCTACTTGATACCGAAAGATGGTTGGACATTTTGATTTCCCCTCTGGCCTTTCCTCTCCCTTTCAAGATCAAATCGTGCTCAAATTTAATCAGAATAAGTGACCAAAGGAGTAATAGAATATAGAAGAATAATTTACTATCTCTGGAACTCGGTGATGAAAGAGGGAAATTTTGAGGTGGTCTGCACTGTCTTTCTGGTTGATGATGTCTAAATGATTCACTTTTGATTCTGGAAACAGCACTGTGAACAATGACCAGAATAAAAGGGGTTTCACATTTGACATTTTGTTCCAAAGCAAGAATCATTATGGTAAATTTACATGAAACTGTCTCAGATGATCAATGATTTAGAGGTATCACCTATCTATTTCCTAAAATAGTCTATTAACAATTAATTAAAACATGAAGCAAGTTGGTGAGAGGAGTCCATAGCCTTCAATCTCTATATTTTCTCCAGGTCTCCAGGACTTCAACTATGTCAGTGGTTCCCACTGGGAGCCATTTTGCTCCTCAGGGGACATTTAGCAATGTCTAGTACATTTTTGGTTGTTATAACTGAGGGATGATGCTACCTGCACTTAGTGGGTAGAGGCCAGGGATGCTGTTGAATTTCCTACATGAACAGGACACCTCCCCACCACAGAATTCTTCAGCCCCTGCAAATGTCAAAAATTCTGCTGTTGAGAAACCCTGATCTGTACCAAAGCTAGGACCATGTGGTAGGTCTTCCTTACAGATAGCCTCAAACAGAGGTCTTCTAGAGACTTCTGGCCATCAGAATTCTTAGGAATCTTAATAAAGTATAAAATTGCTTCTGAGTTCAGGGTTATTTGGAGTGACAAAGAAGCTCCTGGACTCTCCTGGAAGCTCCTGTAAACCCAACTATGAGGATCTTGGTTGAGCCCCTGAGCTCCACCTGTAACGTA